TTTAAAGTATGTAAATTTTCATTCAAATTAGGATGAAATCTCAAGCTATTGACATCTTACTAATGCAAACTTTAGTGTTCCAAAATTAGTGGATCCTGGAAGATGTAGCTTTATTGTCACAAGAAATAATTTGTATTCTCCTTAAGTAATTTGAAATATAAAAGATAATAGAGCTTTCTTTTAAAGTATCATATGAAAAAAAATGAGTATCTTATTAATAGAATTTACTGTATGGATGTAGAAATTAAAATTAAGTGAAATTCTAAAAATATTAAATGAACAATATAATATGTTCTAAGCAGTGCAGTAAGCTTAGGGTTGAAAATTTAACCTTAGAATAGTAAGAGTTTCAGGCAGACATTTCTGAAAAACAATGTGCAACAGGTTGTCATCACGTAACAAAATAAAGACTCTCTGGTGACCTGAAGTGTTAAGGTTACAGGATTCCTGAAAGTTTTTTTCTTTTCACTTTGTACTTCTTATTTTAATACTTAATGTCGAGAGGAATATAACAAAAGACAACTATTCCTTTTTTGTTTCTTGCTTTACCTCTTGAGCTCTATGCTATTTTGTATTAATGATGTTGGATAGTTCAACATTGTATAAGGAAGAATTTGCCTTTGAAAATTCGATGAGTTCTGTGTTCCACAGAACGTTCAGACACTACAGGGTAAGGAGACATTGCAGTTCCTGCCCTAGAGTCCTTACGTTACTCATAGTTGTGGATGTATTAACTGTAGTCCTCCTCTCTAATGTAGACAGCCTTTGCTCCCTAATGTGGACAGCCTTTCCATTTTCCCATGTTCTTCAGTACTGCCAGGACATTAGTTCAATGCAGTTGTAGGGGAAACAGTGCCACCCATGGGATTGTCACTGTCATCCTTCTGCTACACAGGCCTGGTCCTGGAAGGTGTGCTGATCCCCTTTATGGTTATCATGGCTTAATACTGATAGGATTTTCTCAGTGCCTCTGCTTCCCCTGCTGTTGTATTATGTTGTTACACCCTTATTAAAATTCCTAGATGTGGTGTTTTTTTTCTGTTTTTGTTTATTTTTTTTTTTTAACTTTTCTGTCCTTAATATGGATGCATAAAGTTTGATTGCAGTTTGACTGCAGCAGAGCAGTCAAAGCCCTTCTGCAGCATCTTGCTAGCAGTGGAGAGCAGAACATTTTTGCAGTTTTCTTTAAGTGGATTTTATCTGCAGCTTCTCTGACTCCTGCCTCAAAAAGGCATTGTATGCTTTTATTGAGCTCTGTGGCTGGATTTTATTTTTTTTTTTGAACGATTTAAGGGTATGCAGCAACTATTCCATGTTTTTCCTGCTTTCCTTTAATCAGATTGGTGTTTATTTTTAACTTAATACTAAGGGATTAGTCAGTGTAGCTGCTAGCATATGACTTCACATTTCTCAATCTTAAACAAACAGAAAGTTATCATAAATTAAAAGATTTTTTTACTTCCAGACAGAGAGAAGTTATAATAGATGTGTAGCAATTGCAATGTTGTGCCAAATGCACTGGAATGATAAACATAGCAAGCATGTTTCTCCCCATGGTCTGCTTAACAAATAGGCAATGATTCACATACATAAATGCTTTTTTCCTTCCTTAGATTCTAGTTCATGTGAGTTTGGTGTATCAATCTGTCTATGCTCATATCTCTTTTCAAGCATATAAGTTCGCCAAAATAGGTGTTATTGCCAATGACAGTATAGCAGAGACTTTAATCTGAATCTAGATGTAAACTCAATAATTGTCTCTCTGGGTCTGAATAACCAGGTTGCATTCAGCTTTTTAGATGGGAGTACAGAAAAAAACATGCATCTGAGATTCTATCAAATGTGTTTGTATAGTATGGAGAGGTATTAATTTTCTTCTTAAAAATGTGGATGACTCTAACCTGATTGGTTCAGGCCCTGCTTTTTCCACACACTTCATGTATTCAGGTTTCACTCAATACCTCTGTCACTTAGCAAAGGAAAAACATGTTTCTCTGCTACCAGGGTAAAAATGGAGTTTAAGGTTCCATTCTGTCCTGATGCCCTTTCTGTGATTTTTGGGGACGTTATGAATTACAATGTTAGGTATGTGTTTTGGGGCAACAGAAGAGAAAACAATACTTTTTCTAAAATTTGTTATATATTACATTAGGGGAATGGTATAGTTTTACCTACATATCTCACTGTTTGGTGTGGCATGTGAATCTGAAGCTTCTTGAAAATTTAGATATTTGCATTTTAGTGGTAGTTATATAAATTGTCATAGAACATCAACATTCCTTAAGTGTCTTGGAATTTCTTATCCAGAATCTATGTAATATTATTTAAGTAGCACAGTGGTGATCATTAAGGGATTGGATATGACTAAAATGCAAGGCTGGTATACAGTTTATGCTGGTTTTCTTCTAGAGCACTCCTTTGGCTAGTAAGCAGTGACTGAATGTTGTGACTTAAGACTTGATGTGTGAAATGGAAAATAAATGTCTGGTTTAATTCTGTAATTTACGAAACTTGAAAGAATGAGAATAGTGTCATAGAGTCCCAAATTGATTACAAGCTTAATTTTTCAAATTTCATTTTCGGCATTAAATGATCATGTTGGCATTCTTCAGCTCAAAATTCCTGCTGTAGGGCGAATCTGTTCTGATTTGGGGATTTTTTGGGGGGTTGATTTTTTTGATGGTTGTTTGTTTGCTTATTTTGATTTATTTTATACGGAGATACTTGTATTCAATAGTGGCTTTCATGGTGCTGTTGGTATATAAATGATTCCACAGAATGTAGGCCAAAACATCACCACCTTTAAACTGTGTAAGATTGAACAGTATTGAGTGATAGCTGAGAGTAGTGAACATTCTACACTGTTGTTTCAGTAAGTCTACTTAGAATTAACACATTGCACATTCCCTTACATTGCTGGCACTATGGCTGTCAGGCTCCTTCCTAATACAGCAGCTTCAGAAAAAGTTCTGAAGCCTGTATTGAATGAAGAAATTTTTGTTTCAGTGCTCACCTGTTGCGCGAACAGGTGGATTGTCAACAAAAGTAGCAATAATTGTGGTAGTATGCATCAGTTACGGAATTCATACAGATTAATAAACCTGCTCAGAACTGAAAAGACACCACTAGTTTATTTCACACATGCAGTTGTTTAGTGTCTGAAATTTTAGCCACTTCTGACCTAAGAAATATTTTAACTGGCAGTTTGAAGAGCTGCATGTCCCCTTAGTGTAACCTGGTTTACCCAATCCTGAGCAATCAATTCTCTGGGTTTATTTTAAGGGACATTACTTCTAAGCAGCTAGTTGAGATATGCCTGCTAGAAGACTAAGGGAAATTTTATTTTGATTCTCTAGACAAGCAGATCAGATGAGTTGCAGGAGACATAATTTTCCATCTGTTTCCCATCCTCAGTGCAGCAGACAGTAATATTTTCTGATTTCTTTCAGAAGAATTGCATTCTAAGATACAAAAAGCAGTTTATTGGGTTAATGTTTTCAGATTCCAGATTACCCAGTGGATGGTATTGTTCAAGAGACAGAAACTTAGAGTAAGGGTATCAGAAATCTAAGTCACAGTGGGTACGCAAACTATTGTGTACTTTGTGATTCCTTAGGCCAAAATTTGAGTGCAGAAATAACAGTTATGCTGATCTTTGTAGATGCAGACCTGCACTGGGTAGTATGTGAAACTAAATCTTCCCACAAGGTTGGAGAATCATTGGGAGCCAGTAGAACAGTGTTGTAGTTTGAGCCTACTCAGCAGCTAAATGCCACACAGCCACTCACCCACCCTCCCCCCAGTTGGGAATGGGGAGGGAATCAGAGGGGCAAAGGGAGACTCGCGGGTTGAGATAAAAACAGTTTAATAATAGTAACAGAACAATACACTGACAGCAGTATCAGCAGGTACTGTACAACACAGCTGCTCACCACCCACCTGCTCCCGGCCAGCGATCCCAAACACAAAGGCCCCAAGGGACCCACTCCCGGAAGTGAGAGCCCCTCCCAACTCACTCCTGCCTTTATATAGTGAGCACAAGGTCACATGACATGGACTATCAGCCAATCGGGGCCCAGCCCTCCAGCTGTGCTCCCCCCACCCCCGCACACAGGTGAGGGCACTGGGACCTGGGGAGCCCCTGGGGTCTCAGGGTGCTGCAGCACTCCTCCCGCTGCCAGACCAACGGGAACTCTAGTCCAGCCCCAACCAGGACAAACAGACAATTGTATTAGCTTTACATCAGAAAAAAATAAATTAGAGACAGACAGAGGTCTGATTAATCCTGCTGCACTAGACAGAAAAGCAAGTTCTACATTGTTAATAGGGGCTGGATGCTAGACCAAACAAAATGATTTGGTTCAAAAACTTCAACAGATTTAAAGGAGGGAAAACATTGGCACTACAAGGTGCCTGCGATATCTGTTCATTGCATCAGGACATGCTGCATCAAGCTATCGTTTTAACCTGTTTGAATGTTAACTATAGTCTCAGTAGACATAACTGCAGAGTAAATACAAAGTCTTACACTTAGCCTGTGGATTTCACAACCATGTATATAAAGGGAAATTCAGTCTAGTCTGTCACTGCTCTTGGTTTACCTACCAGTGAGCAGAAATTTACTGCAGTCCTGAAGGGAAGGCATGATAGAGCTATAGTGTGATTTGAATGCCATGCAGTAGGATTGCTTGTCATTTGAAAATACAGAATATAGTTTAACAGAGGTTAGGATCTAGGACCTAATTGTATACTGGTTTTCCCTGAGCTATGATTCAACTTGTTTATGTCTCTTTTTCGATGCAAGAAAGAATTCTATGATAATGTGTAGTGTTTTAAAATCAAGTAGGAGTAGCTTTCTGAAGAAAATGACAGCTGAAATAAAAAAAAAAAAAAACAAACACACTAGTTTATGATTTATTTTCCTTGTCTGTCTTTGTGTGTAAAAGAATAAATGTTTCACTTTAACACTGTTAATTAATGACTCTTCTTTTCTTTTGTAGGTTGTCTTAGTCTTCGCTCTTAGTATTGGTGCTCTTGTAATATACTTCATAGATTCATCAAAGTGAGTATTCTACTACCTTTTCCTTTCCCTCCTTTCCTGCAGCAATTATACATCTTGAAATTGCTCCATTCATCTACTTCAAATCAGCACTTGGTCTCATCGCCTGAGTGCAAAGAACTTTATACTAGTGCATGGTCTGCCAAAATAACTCAAGAATGGGAAGACGATCTTATATAAACTAGATTGAACATAGTAACACTGCAACTGTAGAATAAATAGAGGAAAAACTACTTTTGTGTGTTGAGATTATGCATGCTGTTGCAAAATCGTAGGTTTTTTATAGTAATTTGGCATATGTAGAATCTTTCAAATTCAAAAATAGAATAAGAAATACTGGAAAATAATATTTGCCAAAAAATTACAGTTTGCAGGAGAAAAAAATGCATCTTAGGAGACTGACAGGAACACTTCTGAAAAACTTTGAATTAGATAGTGTGATTATTATACCTTGCATACCTGTTCAGATTTCCAACTCCTGGATTTGATAGATTTTTCTCAAGTTGAGCCAGGAAAAACCTGCAAAGCATCTCAAGATTTTTTAGATTTACACCAACGTTATCATATAGTGTTATAATTTTGGCCAGGCAATAGAAAATTTCATCCTGACCTTTTGAGATATGTGGTGGTTTGATATAAACCAATGTATCTAGAATATCCTTTCTTTGACACCATGCATACTCCACCCCTGTTTTCATATCAAGCTGGACGCTGTCAGTGGTGTAACAGGCAACTTGGTAGTCACAGAAGAGACCAGTAAAAAGGCACTTAATAGAATATTATTCTGTTGTATTATTTTGGGAGGATGATATTCCAGAGTATCAATAGCATTTTAAAGCTCTAGGACTGCATATTTGCTACTTTTCTCCAAACTACTTTTAGGCTTACCATTACTGCAGTTGTTAGAGACTGTTTTGTATTCACTCCATGTGAGCCAGCTTCACTGTCTGTAATGGCGGTGGTTATGTTCTAAAACAATCCTTATGTGACTCAGAAAATCAGACATTTTACTGTTGACATGTGTGCATACTGATAGTTAGGTATGTGGTAGCACCATCAAAAGGCATTCTTGAATAAGTAGATGTCAGCTCTGTATTGTGTGAGTTTCAAGCCGTACCTTTGTAGCCCAGATGTGTCAAGCATAACACAAATAACTAAGGTAGTGATTTTCTTTGTGGAGAGGAGCCAAATGGTGGGAAACTCAAGTTCTGTCTTGAGGTCCCTTGAAGTGAGGCTGATAGTTTTTCTTTCTTAACATTGTGGTGAGTGTTCTCATTAATTTTAGCAAACTTTTCTTTAATATGTCACCACTGAAGCACATATTTCTGAATGAAGCACAGCATTCTGAAGATCTTTTTGGAAACTTTTAAAAGCATAATGGCAAAGCTTCTGGGTGCCCAACATATCCAGGTCAAATAGAATAAAACCTGTTTTCACGTATGTTTCAATTTCAGGCCAATGAAATACAGCTATTTGTTAGGACAAGTGTCTTTTATAAAACTAGTGTATTATATAATGATTTTTGGGCACTGCATTCTAGAAGCCTTTGTTTGATTGTTTTCCTCAAGGAGAGCGAAACTGAGAACATGGGATTTCTCTGGTGTGCTTAAGCTTTCTGTGGGCCACACAGTCCATGTACAGCTGCTACCAGCTTATTGGTGCTCTGTCAATGGAGATAGACAAGTGTTTTAACTGTAGGTTTCTCTGGGTTTTCAGGAAATATTTGACTCCTGGCTGCAGTTTAAAATCAGAAATCTCAAGTTAATGTACTCTACTTGCACACTTTTCCTTTGTTTTCTCCTCTTCTCTCACCCTACTTTCTTCCCACATACATGTCTTTGTCTTTTTTTTTTTTTTATTTTATTTTTTTTTTTTTGGTAAATGCTCATTACTAGTTTAATTCAGGTTAGAAACTCCCCAGATATATCCCTGAAGTGGAAAATTCTGCTTTATTCTGTATTAGCAGCTGACCCGACACTTGTTTCAGCAGTATAGAATCAAATGTAGTGATAAATTGGTCTATTTAAGATCCCCAAGTGCATGATTAGTAAAAGTAATTCCTTTTAGAATTTGGTCAAATGGGAAATAATTAAGATAGGTGAAAGAAATGCTTGTGAATTCTTCAACCAAGCAACTGGAACAACAAAGATTATGGTGTGGAAAGGAGCAGTGGAGACAAACAGGACCTAGCGCTCACACCAGGCAGTGACATATACCACTTTTTTGCTTTCCCTTGACAGTGCATTCTGTAGCTGTTGTATTCCATCTGTGCCATGGACACTTAGCTGTCATTTAATCTTACATGCATAGAGTGATGAAAGTCATGTCTTCATTTCAAAGCTGAAGAGTACTAGTATAAGCATTTGTCTAAAACAAAATGCCAGTGATCTATGCATCCAAGACTCTTAATCTCTCAGTGGATTTGTACATGCAATGGCAAGTATGTCCACCAAGGAATCCTGCATGACTTCATATATATGGAGCATCAAGAAAGATGGGAATAACACCACCGCTTTCTTAGACAGTGAAGGAAGGGGAAAGAGTGGAAAGACCACTGAGTTTTGTTAGGCAAAGATTTGTGTCATGATTAATTCTGGAGGAGGACACTGAGGAAGTCAGTAAGGCTCATACTGAAGATACTACCCATTGCTCCCTCTGCTGTATTCATGGTATAGGGATGGTGATTGGAGGCAAAATGAATGCTGTTAAAGCTGTGAGAGAAGTATAAACTAAGAGCATTTCTATGCTACTCAGTTCATCACTCTAACAAATACTCTCCCAGGCTAGTACCACATGAAATGGTATGTCTAGTGCAATGCTATTTGGAGAGATCTGAGGTCAGAAAATACTTCAGCTTCATTAACATAGTGTCCTCCATACCAGTTAGTCCTACATCTCAGCAGAGCAAATTAAGCAGCTTTGGGTTTCTATAAAAGATGTCTGTAGTAACTCTGGTTCTGGCACATATTTAGGGATCTCTGCACCATACTGCACTACAAAATATAGGCACAGTTGTGATCCAATACATCTTTAATCTGAATTGACTTTTCTTAGTAAGAAGCAGTATTTAACTCACCTTTTAAGAAAGGTTCTAGACAAAAATCACAAAAATAATCATTCTTGGTGGAAAGAAGGAAGGTTATTACTTTTGAAAATTATAGGGATTATTCCATTACTCTTCCTTAAGATTATTCTGTTGTTTATTCAATGCTTCTACTTTTTACAAGGCACCAGTTTGAATCATTGTCTTCTAGTACCACAAAATGTATGTGGAACATTTTCTTTTACAGTCAATATCTGCACTTTCAGTGGTGCATGGTAGCAACTGATGGAAGATTTCAGACCTTAAACTGGGAATTTATTTAGTAGAGAAATTACTATCTTGGCATCCCAGTCAATTAATTCCAGTCATATCCTGGTAGGAAATGTTTCACTTAGTAATAAGGACTAGACTATTTCCTTCATTTATTTGTAGAGTCTTACTCATAAAATACTGTTTTCTTGGACAATGGTATTTTTCAGTACTGGAAATAGCAGTTATACATGAAACATTTGCCAAAGATATATTATAAATATAACCTGCATGATTATTTTAATCTTTAGGCAAAAAATAACCAAATAATTACATTTTTATTTTTAGAGATTCATTCACTTTAATGTCTGTTTTCCATTTTTAGTTTGAATAAAAGTCCAACATTCAAACAAGTAGTTATAAGCAGTTAGAAGAGTTTTGATTAAGTCATCTACTTTAGTACAGAGTAGCATCATATAACCCATATATTGGTTCCTTCCCAATTTATGTTCCTTGAAAATTTGTTATCATCTAATTTTTCAGGGTGAGGAAATAATAGAATTATCCTTCATTCTTAAGAGGAAAATCTGACTTGATGTGCACTCTTTAGATGGTTCTCTAGAGTCTGCTCGATGTGCTGCAGTAGAATAGAGAGATTGATGTCTGCCAATACTTTTTCATTTTTCATTATTTTTTGTAAGTAGTTTTCACAACCTTCGTTCTTCCTGTTTCCACTTCTGTTTATTTTTCTGCATGTAAAAGGTGTTTGAACAAATAAATATGGAAGAGTTATAGCTACATCAGCATTAAAGATGAATTGCCTATTTTCATTTCTATTTTTCATCCTGATCTCTGCATATCATACTAAATTAGTGACCCCAATAGAGTAGAGAATAACATTTGCTTGCTGTTACATCTTTAGGATTGGTTAGTAAAACCACTAGCAGAGAAGTCAATTTCCCACTGAAGTGGTAACTCAGGGCTCTGGTTTTCTATTGCTTATAATGGCAGTAGCATGGAAATTGTTTGTGATGTGAATACCCTTTCCTGCTCTGGTTCTGTTTTCTCTTTTGGGGTACAATACAATGTAATGTGCAACCATAGATATAAGCTGTGCTTTTCAGTCACAGAAAATTATTTTTTTTTAGCCAAAGACCTTGCTTTCTAATGACCAGTCAGTGTTGTCCTGCCTCTTGAAGTTTACCTCATTTACTGGAGTCCCTTCACTAAAAAATGATGTCAATGTAGAAATAACGGAGCCCGTCAATGGCAAGATGAAAACATAAAAACTCTCACAACCTGTTTTATATATTCTACTCACCTGTGTTATTCAGATCAGTTTTTTGTATTTGTTTGTATTTTCAGAAGCACCAGTGTAATTATTCCTAAATAGCTATTTTTTTTCCAATACCGTGTCACATATTGTACTTGATTAGAATTGTACATAAAAGTGCCATCTGGCAATGAGTGTAAAACAGCTGGATCTAAGAATAACAGTGGCACTGTGAATAGCAAGATTTATACAAATACACACACAGACATATAGGATCATGCTGAGGCCTCAGCTTGTTCTCAACTGTTGTGTTCTTAATCAGACAGCTTTATTTCTTTATATATGTGGAAAATAAGAGTTAAACTTACAGGCAACTCTACTTTTTAAATGGTCTATATATCGTTATTTATCTGAGAAGATTTTAGAAGTGCTTGAGCC